TATTGTGATTTACATATAAACTTGATATGCAAATTCAGCATTAAAACCTCAACTGCTACTCAAGAGGCAAAGATTTGGCTCCAAGCCAATGCAGTAGAACCTTCCCCACTAGAATGAAAGCTCCATGAGGCAGAACATTGTCTGAATTAGTTGTTCCTTAATGTTTTTAATAGAAGTACATTAAATGAATGCAGGCTAACTTTTAGTAGTCTTTTCTTTACAAAAACAAAAACAAAAACAAAAACCTTGCAAGAAAAACCCAAGTTCTTTTGCTATAGTAGTAACAAGCATCTTTCATGCCACTATCTTAAGACATTTTAGTTCAGAATTTGCAGCCTGTGAGAAGGCAGTACCATTCTTGACGTCCATGAGGGTGGGCCAGCACCTATGCTTAAATTAATCTAACTTTTATGAGTTTCCTCAGTGTTAACCACAATCCAAGTGGGGGAGTATAAATTTAAAACAAACAACAACAAAAAAGATTGTCTTTCAGGAATGAAAAATAAATATAATCTGAAATCAATATTTATGAAGTTGTGATTAATTGACTGATGACCAAATGATTACAAAATGTCTGTCTGAAACATCTACTCAAATTTATTAGCTTTGACCAAAAAAAATTAAAAAACAATCTGAACTGGGTCAATGAAAGAATAATGCATGCCTAATCAATTTTTAATAGCACTTAAGATTTTATATTTTTTTAAACTTGCTTTTAAATAATTTATCATAAAAATGAATCTGATTTAAACAAGGGGTAAAAGGTGTTCCATAGCTATTTGATGGTTTTCTTAGCAAAGAAATTCAATTATAACTGACTTTTTATTACTGAACTACTTTATTAATAATAATACATCTTGCACTTACACTAAGGCATGGGGCCAACAATCTCAGAGAATCCAAGTGAGATCTAGGATTTAGTTCCAAATCTACCATTTCCTGGTGGTTTATCTCTCTAGGTCTCAATATCTTCATCTCTGAAAGGAGAAACCTGCTAAAAAAAAAACACCCTAGATTCTTTCTAGTTGTAAAAGTTTATAATTCTAAGAATTTAGGGGGCTTTAGCCCATCTCAGATGTTCTATCTGACAGAATTCCTTGGGTCACAGGACTCTCCATAAGGCTACTAGGAAGTCCAGAAAGAGATTAAGCAGGAAGTCAATGAGCCAAGTTATCTTTGTTTTTCTATTAGAGTAATAGCATTAATTTAACAAAATTGGCCAAATAACATCTATTTAGAACATGATTTGTCAACAAAAGGAAATGCTGTTCATAGAGCAGAAGGAAAGGATAGTTCCTAGCCTTAAACCATTTGCATTATCAAAAGCAAAGCCTGGGAATTGGCATGCAATCAGTTTGGGCCTAGAGGGAGTCGTAATCAACCTGTATTGCTAACAGTATTATTTAGATATGTACGTGTGTGTACCTATCCACCAAACATTAATTAAAAAAAAAAAAGCAGGTACGTTATGGTATGATCCTATTTGTGGTTATACACATATACATGACTTAAAATGTTTGGATATGTTCTAGAATTTAACAGTGATTACCACACAGGATAGAAAAGTGAGGCGTTAGTACCAAAGAAATTTGGCTTATTATTTTATTTTATTATTATTTCAATATTTATTTATTTTTGAGAGAGAGAGAGTGAGCAGGGGAGGGGCAGAGAGAGAAAGAGAGAGAGAGAGAGAGAGAGAGAGAGAGGAGAGACAGAGGATCTGAAGCAGGCTCTGCGCTGTCAGTACAGATCCCAATGTGGGGCTTGCACTCAGAAACCATGAAATCATGACCTGAGCTGAAGTCAGATGCTTAACTGACTGAGCCACCCAGGGCACCCCTGCTTATTATTTTATATATTTAAAAATGGCTTACTTTTCTTAAGATGAGCCTTATTATTTTTATAATTAGCAAAAAGCTAATTTTTTAAATTATAATTTAATTTTTAATTTTAAATTAAGTTTATAATTAGCAAAAATCAAATTTTTAAAAAGTCTTCCATTTTGAAGTGAAAAACAAGTAAAGGCAATTTTTACAGCAGCCTGTGTCTGTAGCTAAAGAAAATATTACCTTTTGTGGAACAGTCACCGAGTACCAGATACTAGATATCATACACAATCTCTGACCTCAAGAAACAGTCTATTGTGGGGGCAAACACATAACCAAATATAATACAACGTGATCAACACAGAAATAACTATGTGGACAAAGCACTAAGCACCAAGAAGCTGTGACAATGACAGTGAATGTGGAAAGAGATGTTGGGAAGAGTCTAGGTTTTGACATTTTACCTAAAAGGTAGGGTATGATTTTTTAAACTCAGCTTTGTGACTGAGTATTAACACCAATCATTGAGGTGATTAACAAGAAATGAATTTGCCCCAATAACTAAAAAAACAACCACAAAAAAATGTCTTCAACATGTCTCCCTGCTGCAGTTTCTAGGGATGGATGTGAAAGGCAAAACATTCTCAGTCCTACATCCCACTCAAAGGGTGGGAATGACAGGTCCTAACATACCATCTTAGCTATCAGTGAGGTGAGAATAGGAAGAACACAGCAGGCTGGGGACAAGGTGAAACTTGAATGACAGTGGGTATCGACCTGGAGCTGTCTCATTCTGAAGCCTAACATCTACACTCCTGGCCAGGAATGATGCATTAGGAAAATATGTGAATTCCAGACTCCATAAAAATATGACTTCAAAAAGCCAAAAAATAGCCAAACCAAGTGACTTTATGCCAGGCATTTTGAAAAAGTGGCCAATAACCAGGCAGTTTTCCCTAGTTCTCCAATTCCAAACGCATGATGGCCTCCAATTCCCAGGAAATGAAGTTATTGAGATGTTTCAAAGAATTTTCACTGTCACCTGTGAGCAGATTTTGAACTGGACTTAGGCTTCTTCAGGCTGGTCCAGTCTCATTATTGTCTGTTTCTTTGAGACATGATAGTAAACATACATTGACCTCTTTTAATGCACACGCACACACACATGCGCGCGCGCGCGCACACACACACACACACACACACACACACACACTTTACCAAGAAGGAAGCTAAGAAGCAGAAAGGTCAAATACATTATCTGAAGCCAGTAGAGCCAGAAAGTTGTTGGGACAGTGATTTCTACCGTCCCGTACAGATCCAGAAACCCTTTCCTTTGACCACATGCTGCTTCTAATTATACTGTCTCTGTGTCATTTTCCCAAAGATCGGTAGAAGTAGTTCCATTGGTTTTGTTTTTAATCTCTCTACTCACAAATTGTATTTGTTTGCATAAATTAATCACATTGGCCCTCACTTAAAGTAAGTTGCAATTAAATTCCAAATCTGTTACATTCACGATTCATGAAGGAACTTTTAGAGTTTTTCTTTTTCACTAGTAGGAAATGCTAACTTAGAACCTCACACATTCTCCTTCCGAGTTCTACAGCCCAATGTTACCTAGCTTATCTAAACCACGCACCTGAAATGAAGGCTTCACAGGCATGTTCAAGTGCTTTCCAGAGGATGGACGGCTGGCACTGTTTGCAGCTTTCTCACTTGGACATGTAAATCAGAGTTCGTGGCTCTGAGCCTTTAGTCTCCGTTAGAAACCACAGAAGGGCCAACGAAAAGCAAGCCTTCAGGGAAACCTGCGATTAAATGTATCCAAATCGTCTCAGAGAGATCAAGAGACAATCACTGTTGTTTTTAAGGAACATCGCATCATTTCAGAATGGAAAAAGATCTGAGAGCGGCAGAAAGGTTTTTTTTTTTTTTTTTTTAATTAAAATGTATACATAACATTTTATCTCTTCCTGTTTTGACTGCGCCGTGCGTTTGCAGACTGTGTGGGGTTTAATTTTTAGGCAGAAAACTTCCATCCACCCTCCGGGAAAGAGTAAGGCATTTAAAATCGCTTTCCCCATCTTCCTCTCTGCTCTGCACTGTTACTCTTTCATTTAAACTTTCAAGATCCTCCATCGATGCCTATAGTAAACCGCCTTCCTCCTCATTCTCAAGAATCTTGCAGCTTCCGAACCCGGGGCCTTTTTTTTTTTTTTTTTTTTTTTTTTTTTTTTTTTTTTTTTTTTTTTTGAATGAAAGTAAGAAAGGGAGGAAAGGAAGGAAGCTCCGGAGGGAGGGAGGGAGGAAGGAAGGAAAGGAAAAGCCGTGGCGGCCGCACGTTTCAAAAGCGCGTTTTCGTTTCCTCTCCCGGCGGGCTGTGGCCCTGCCAGGCTGCCGTAGCCGGCCTCGCGCGGCCCCAGTCGTGGCTAGGAGCCGCCGTCGGCGGGACTTCCGTGTTGGCGGGATTCTGAACGCTGCCATGGCTCAGACCGTGCAGAACGTTACATTGTCGCTCACTCTGCCCATCACGTGCCACATTTGCTTGGGGAAGGTAATGGGTGATTCTGGGCACTTCTCGAAACAGGGTCGGGTATGAAGTCGCCCTCCGGAGCCGAGGGCGGTCTCCGTGTGTGGCGGGGACGGGGAGATGGGTGCAGACGCTTACCCGCGTTCTCCTCAGGCGCTGGGAGGCCGCGTCCTGGGGGACGAAGGGAACGCGTCGTGGTTGCTGGGTTCATCCTCTGCGCCTTTTGGAGGGGGATGACAGCGACCTGGGGTCTGAAGGAAGGGCGGCCAGGCGGCTCTGTTAGCTCCGCCGGCCTCACCCGGCCGGCCGACTCCGACGTCGAAGGAGGCCTCTTCAGTAAGGAATCGCAACAGTATTTTACGCCCCTTTGCCACCTGTGTGGCTTGTATGAAGCCCGTTAAAGCACGTTTCCTGGGAGTCTTGCCCAGGATTCCTTCGTCCTCTACACAAGTGGAATGTTCTTGTCCTTGGGCCTGCTCGCTGTGCTAATTGGAGAGTCTTTTCCATTTCCAACATCCTTTCCTTTGCTTAACCCTGCCTTTAGAATGTCCTTTGCTCTGGGTTCAAAATTTGAAAGGTAAATAGTACCCACCCCTGAGTAGTATTAAGAATGAGAGGCATGGTCTTTTGGAACCATTCAGCGATGAGATGGAATCCCCGCTCTTTGTGTTGCAAGAGGTGTCTAACGTGTTTGTGAAGCTAGATAAAGTAGTTCTGAATTAGAAACGGAATTTTGAAGAGTCTGATGCATTCGTCTCTTCTTTCATTTCCGTTTGTGCCTCCCATTTGGTTTTTAAAAGAGCGTTTCTTTAACGCATAGATCAAGAAAGAAGATCCTATGGATGAGCAGTCAGACATTTTTCCCACCCCGAATTGTTTTTACATTTGTGATGTGTCTGTTTACCCTCGAGTGCAGACTGAAACTACAGCCTCCTGCATGGAATTGAGACCTAGAAACTTCATAGAGCAAACATTGGAGTGCCAGCCAGTATGATCATCTGCCTTAGGTGTTTGGGGTTCTGTGTGAATTTAAGAGTTCAAGCAGTAGTAGGAAGTCAGGCTTGGAAGCAACTGATAACTCTTGGTATCAGTCAGAATGAAATGCCAAGGAAATAGCAAATGTGCTGTGAGATCATACAGGGGATGGCTTGATCAATTCTGACTGGAGAGATCAAGGATGGTGGCGTAGAGGGTGGTATTTGAGCTGGTATTTGCTGCCACTGCCTACATACAGAGCTGGGAGGAGGGGGAGATGATGTTTATATTTGCTAGTCTACATTTGGTTTCTGACATGAAGTTGCCACAAGTACGGGTTAAGTTCTGAGTGCATTTACTCTCAACAGTAGCATTAAAAGCTGATAAAAATACCTTGGGAAATAATTTTCCTTTGGTCTTAGTTGTACACATTATGTCTAGTTTCCATTAGTTAATAGGCTCTTTTGCAGTTGTGTTGACAATGTGCTCTGCCTGGTTGATTTTCCATACCTGTGCTTTTTGTGTTTAACAAAAAAGGATACCTAGTAGAATACAGTGATTTGCAGTTTACAGAATGCTCTTGTATGCATTTAATTACTTCATTTACTCATTTCACCAGTGCTATGAAATAGATAGGGCTGGTTGCCCCATTTTTTTGACAGAAGAAAGCTAAGGCTTAGAGTCTCTGGCTTGAACCTCTGTTATCATTTGTCTCTTCAGTAAATTACTTCCTAAAAACTCACGTGAGCTCATCTGTGATAGCAGACACTCTTGTAGTGTGCCTCCTCCCCTCATCCCTTTCTCTCTTTTTTTCCTGTATTGCTTAGCTGTGTTCTAAAATGAAATCTAATAAAAGATTAATGGTTTGTAAACAGGCATCTTCTTCTGTCTACTGTGGAAGGATAAATGTATTGAAGGCCTGAGTTCTGTGTTCAGACTATGAGTTTTAGCTTCTTCCATTTGCTAATTCTGTGACCTTACACAAGTTACTTAACCTGTCTCAGAACAGTTTCCTTATCTGTGAGATGGGAATGGTGATAGAAGCAACACTCTTTCTTGCATTCTGGGCACAATTAAATGAAGTAATTCAATTGTAGTGTTTAGCATAAGGTCTGGGGCATAATAATATTCAATAAATATTAAACTTTAGTGTGGGCACTGAGACAGGCCCTCAAATGAGGAAACCAGCCTTTCTAGTAACTGTTCTTCCCAGTTGCTTCCTGAGGAAGTGCACTCATTCTATGAGGATTTGCTTTCCCAATGGAGTGGGACCTGTTTGTTCTAGAAATTGCCACAGTACATCCAGGTTTTAACTGGTTCCATATAACTGCTGCCTTTTGTACAGTTAAAGGAAATCTGATCTGTTTGGGCCACTTAACCCTCACCACATAACGGTAATTGTGGAGTACTGGAGATAGCATGACCTGGGGTAGTACCATGTTTCCAATGCCGCATCCACCTCCCTGACACACACCTCTGGCCACCTCTGACATCTGCCTTAAGGTCCTTTTTGACTAGCCCTCTCTCAGATAACCATTCTTTTGCTGCCCTCATTATTTGTCCAAAAATCTCACCATTAGCAAGATTCTTTTCTTTTGATTGTTCAACAGAATTAGGAGCCATTATCCCTGAGAGGTCACTGTTAAAAAAAAAAAAGAAAAGGAAAGAAAAAAAAGTGCATATTACCTTAAAGGAAGAGTTGGGGGTGGGAGAGACCTTAAATATGAATAGATAATATAGATGCTGACAGGGATGGGGAAGAATAGAGACGTAAGAGTAGTGGAGATAGCCTAAGTATGCACACTGTCAATACTTTGTCTTTTGGATACAAATGTACTTAAAATTGGACAGTTTAGACATTTTGCATTTTCTGCCTTTCTCTGCCTTAGCCTTAAAGGTGGATTCTTTCTGCTTAATAATGTTTAGCAACCTTGCCAATATCTCAAGAGCTCTATGTGTTTGAAGAAGTTAGATACACATCCTGTGGGATGAGTTATGTGTAATATATTTTCTTGCCTATTCCTCCTTAATTTTTTCCTTTTGCCTAGAACTAGTGGGCCAGCAAGCAGAAATAAAGGTTCAGGATATCAGTTAAGTGACATTTAGGTCCTGGTACCAGATTGCTACAGACCAGTTTATCTCTAGATAATTCCAGTCATTTTTCTCATCAATTAGGATTCCAACTGCAAAATCAAATTATTGTTGCATGTTTTTGACTAAGTCTGCATTTTTCCGTGAGTAACATGTCTCCCAATGTAGACTATAGTTAGTTTAATGAAAGGTGAAGGAGGTTTTGAAGTGAAGCGACAAGCAACTAGACTTCTGGTGCTCTTCAACGTTAGTATATCATATTCAGTTATTCGTCACTTGAGTATAAGTCCAGTTTGAGACTTCAATATAAAAAAACTAGAGTATTTTGAAATTTAGAAAGGAGTTGAAATTGAGGTTCAAATATGTGGAATGGAATTGTGTTGGAATGAATGGACATAATAGCAAATCTTTAAATACAGACTATTTTTCATTTGGAAGGGAATCAAGCTTTGTGTAGCTCTACAGTATTAAGATTTGTACTTATGTAAGGGCAAGCCCTGTGGCTGAAATAATCCAAAATGAAATCACCTTCCTTAGGATATGGGGTATGTGTCTCTTGCAGTGTCCAAAGTAGGGTGGACTGTTTCAAGCTAAGAATACTACAGGAAGAATCCCTTCTTTGAGGGAGGCCTTGCTTTCCACCCATATTGTTGATTAAAACTGTTGACAAGGTAAGGCTAGGTAAGAAGCCTTATGCAACTAAATAATTAATCAGTGTTCATCAGGGGCTGTTGATTGGCCAGCATGTTCTCGACCTCAGTACATTGAGCCCACGTTTGATTCCTGATTGACTCTTCAGTTCCCAAGAGTGGATTGTACATAATTGTCACAAGTAATTTACTTTGACAAAAGCCATATGGACTACATTTTTTTCCTTTCCAAATTAAGTTTGAAGAATGCAGACACTTTCAAAAAATACAGTATTATGTTTCTATGTACTTAGGGCATAATTTAAAAATTACTAAAAAAAAAAGTATTGATGTATCCTAATAATTTTAAGATTGGTATGTAAGAGCTGACATATTTACTAAAGAAATATGATTCTTGAAAGCATTCTAGGTAGTGATGAAGGTGGGGGAGGCAAGATATATTATTTTTTCTTTTACCCAGAAAGAAATGGAGACCTAAACCAATAGGTATTAAGCAACTTAGTTCTCAGGATCACATAGTTTTAAAGTTCTAGGACCTAAGTTTTGGCCCAGAGCCAAAGATTTCTTGAAACATAGCAAGAACAATCCAGAAATTTCATTTTGAAAAGTTTCCAAAATCCCCAAATTGAGGCAGAGGAGTTATTATTACCCATCATTTTTATACCTCAGCCTTCTTTTTCAGTCTTTCTAGGTCTTCCCTAGTGAAACCCATAAAATTTTGACATAGGTGCAAGAAAGAATATTATTTGAAGAAAAATGAACTCGAGTCTCTAGCAAAGATGATAAAAGGCACAGGAACTGACTTTAAGTGTAATTGCCAGGCCAGTTAAGTTGCTTTTCCTTCCCATCACTTCTCTCAGTGGCCTTTTTCTACAGCCCCTATTGACCCCAAAGTCTTGTTCCAAATTTCTTGCTTCTTTCAGGCATGTGCTCTCTATTTCTTACTCCCAGATTATTGTTCACTAACTCTGTACTAAGGAAGAAAAAAACTATTTCTTAGTTGAAAGAGCACTCACTTTGCAGTTGGATCACATTGAATGATGGTTAAATACTGGTTCTGCCACTTATAACCTGTGTTATTTTTTCCTTGAGTCTCAGTTTCCACAGCTGATAATGAATTTGATACTACCAACCCCATTAGGTTGTTAGGGAAATATGTGAATAGTTTACACCAGTGGTTCTGAAAGGGTTGGGAGTGGATTTCATCCTGCAGGGACATTTGGCAGTGCCTAGAGACGCCTCTGTCTCCAGCGGTGTGCTACTTGCATCTACTGGGTAGAGCCCAGGGATGTTGCTAGCTAAACATCC